TGAACGAGCGTGTGACACTTTTAGTGGTCGGTGAACGAGCGTGTGACACTTTTAGTGGTGGCCGGTGAACGAGCGTGTGACACTTTTAGTGGCGGTGAACGAGCGTGTGACGCTTTTAGTGGCCGGTGAACGAGCGTGTGACACTTTTAGTGGCCGGTGAACGAGAGTGTGTGACACTTTTAGTGGCCGGTGAACGAGCGTGTGACGCTTTTTAGTGGTCGGTGAACGAGCGTGTGACGCTTTTTTTAGTGAACGTGGTGAACGAGCGTGTGACGCTTTTAGTGGTCGGTGAACGAGCGTGTGACGCTTTTTAGTGGTCGGTGAACGAGCGTGTGACACTTTTAGTGGTCGGTGAACGAGCGTGTGACACTTTTAGTGGTCGGTATTTACTCACAGGAATCCGGCTGCATATGTATCTGATAAATTGTTGGTGCCTCTGGACCACGGAGCGCTGATTCCTCCCAGCCACACCTTCTTCCCTGGGGTGTGCAGATTGACCACCTGTGGAGAGAACATACACACTTCTGTGGAAGAGCAAAGAGCCAACGTGGGGGAAGACTGCTTCTAATAACAGGGCAGAGCATGCAATGCGTAGATGGAGATGATCTTCACCATCAGCACAGGAGAGCTTCCCAGCATCCAGCAAGAGCCCGACACTCAGGAAAATGGTTCTATACAATGTAACACTGGAGATGAATGTCCCTCAACGAGGATCAAGAGCTCGCCAGGTCCACCAACAATGTAACACTGGAGATGAATGTCCCTCAACGAGGATCCAGAGCTCGCCAGGTCCACCAACAATGTAACACTGGAGATGAATGTCCCTCAACGAGGATCAAGAGCTCACCAGGTCCACCAACAATGTAACACTGGAGATGAATGTCCCTCAACGAGGATCAAGGGCTCGCCAGGTCCACCAACAATGTAACACTGGAGATGAATGTCCCTCAACGAGGATCAAGGGCTCACCAGGTCCACCAACAATGTAACACTGGAGATGAATGTCCCTCAACGAGGATCAAGGGCTCACCAGGTCCACCAACAATGTAACACTGGAGATGAATGTCCCTCAACGAGGATCAAGAGCTCACCAGGTCCGCAAACAATGTAACACTGGAGATGAATGTCCCTCAACGAGGATCCAGAGCTCGCCAGGTCCACCAACAATGTAACACTGGAGATGAATGTCCCTCAACGAGGATCAAGGGCTCACCAGGTCCACCAACAATGTAACACTGGAGATGAATGTCCCTCAACGAGGATCAAGGGCTCAACAGGTCCACCAACAATGTAACACTGGAGAGGAATGTCCCTCAACGAGGATCAAGAGCTCACCAGGTCCACCAACAATGTAACACTGGAGATGAATGTCCCTCAACGAGGATCAAGAGCTCGCCAGGTCCACCAACAATGTAACACTGGAGATGAATGTCCCTCAACGAGGATCCAGAGCTCGCCAGGTCCACCAACAATGTAACACTGGAGATGAATGTCCCTCAACGAGGATCAAGAGCTCACCAGGTCCACCAACAATGTAACACTGGAGATGAATGTCCCTCAACGAGGATCAAGAGCTCACCAGGTCCACCAACAATGTAACACTGGAGATGAATGTCCCTCAACGAGGATCAAGGGCTCGCCAGGTCCACCAACAATGTAACACTGGAGATGAATGTCCCTCAACGAGGATCAAGGGCTCGCCAGGTCCACCAACAATGTAACGCTGGAGATGAATGTCCCTCAACGAGGATCAAGGGCTCGCCAGGTCCACCAACAATGTAACGCTGGAGATGAATGTCCCTCAACGAGGATCAAGAGCTCGCCAGGTCCACCCACAATGTAACACTGGAGATGAATGTCCCTCAACGAGGATCAAGAGCTCGCCAGGTCCACCAACAATGTAACACTGGAGATGAATGTCCCTCAACGAGGATCCAGAGCTCGCCAGGTCCACCAACAATGTAACACTGGAGATGAATGTCCCTCAACGAGGATCAAGAGCTCGCCAGGTCCACCAACAATGTAACACTGGAGATGAATGTCCCTCAACGAGGATCAAGGGCTCGCCAGGTCCACCAACAATGTAACACTGGAGATGAATGTCCCTCAACGAGGATCAAGAGCTCGCCAGGTCCACCAACAATGTAACGCTGGGAGATGAATGTCCCTCAACGAGGATCCAGAGCTCGCCAGGTCCACCAACAATGTAACACTGGAGATGAATGTCCCTCAACGAGGATCAAGGGCTCGCCAGGTCCACCAACAATGTAACACTGGAGATGAATGTCCCTCAACGAGGATCAAGGGCTCACCAGGTCCACCAACAATGTAAATCCCCAACCTGTGGCCCCAGCATTGCCTGTGGCCCCTTGGTGTTTATGGCAGAGTCCTCCAGCCCCGGCAGCCATTTTTTTCCTCCCTAATTAGACCGCTGAAGGAAAATGTTCCCCAAATTGTCATCTGCTAGTCTGGTCGGGTTTATTTCCTTCCCTCTTCTATGTTTTCTATGCGTCGTCCGTTCCTTTCTCTGTGTATTTTGGTCCCTATTCTTTTCTAATAATTCTTGTGGAGAGGAGAACCGCATGTGGGGACCGCCATTTATAGGGGGGGGGGGGGGTGGTAGCCGTAAATCTCGGGGGGTCAGGAAGGAATGTTTCCCCTGCAGGAGGAGATTGGATCGTGCTTTGCTGGGTGTTTTGCCTTCCTCTGGATCCACTGTGGGGGAGGATTGTAACTTTTTTTTTTTTTTTATGGTTGAACTGGATGGACTTTTGTCTTTTTTTTTCAGCCAGACTAACTGTGGAACTGTGGTGTAACTGGAACTGTGTAACTATGGAACTGTGTAACTGTGGAACTGTGTAACTGTGTAACTATGTAACTATGTAACTGTGGAACTATGTAACTGTGTAACTGTGTAACTATGTAACTGTGGAACTATGTAACTATGTAACTATGTAACTATGGAACTATGTAACTATGTAACTGTGTAACTGTGTAACTATGTAACTATGGAACTATGTAACTATGTAACTGTGTAACTGTGTAACTATGTAACTATGTAACTGTGTAACTGTGGAACTATGTAACTGTGTAACTGTGTAACTATGTAACTATGTAACTGTGTAACTATGTAACTGTGTAACTATGTAACTATGTAACTGTGTAACTATGTAACTATGTAACTGTGGAACTGTGGAACTATGTAACTATGTAACTGTGGAACTGTGGAACTATGTAACTGTGTAACTATGTAACTGTGGAACTGTGGAACTATGTAACTATGTAACTGTGGAACTGTGGAACTATGTAACTGTGTAACTATGTAACTGTGGAACTGTGGAACTATGTAACTGTGGAACTATGTAACTGTGTAACTGTGGAACTATGTAACTATGTAACTGTGTAACTATGTAACTGTGGAACTATGTAACTGTGTAACTATGTAACTATGTAACTATGGAACTGTGTAACTATGTAACTATGTAACTGTGTAACTATGTAACTGTGTAACTGTGTAACTATGTAACTGTGTAACTGTGTAACTATGTAACTGTGTAACTGTGTAACTATGGAACTGTGTAACTATGTAACTATGTAACTATGTAACTATGGAACTGTGTAACTATGTAACTATGTAACTATGTAACTGTGTAACTGTGTAACTATGTAACTATGGAACTGTGTAACTATGTAAACTATGTAACTATGTAACTGTGTAACTATGTAACTATGGAACTGTGTAACTATGTAACTAGGTAACTATGTAACTATGTAACTGTGGAACTGTGTAACTATGTAACTATGGAACTGTGTAACTGTGGAACTATGTAACTATGTAACTGTGTAACTGTGTAACTATGTAACTGTGTAACTATGTAACTGTGTAACTATGTAACTATGTAACTATGTAACTATGTAACTATGAAACTATGTAAACTATGTAACTATGAAACTGTGTAACTGTGTAACTATGTAACTGTGTAACTGTGTAACTATGTAACTGTGTAACTGTGTAACTATGTAACTGTGTAACTGTGTAACTATGTAACTGTGTAACTATGTAACTATGGAACTGTGTAACTATGTAACTATGTAACTAGGTAACTATGTAACTGTGTCCACAATGAACGCTGGTTCTGGCCCTTGTTCATACAGTATATACAGGGAATGATATGATTTATACATCTCCCGCCATATTCTTATTACTCCCGGGGCGGCAGATATGGAGGTAACACCATTCCTCCTGTACGGGGCCCAGCAGGGGAATCGGATGTGGGCAGGAGAGGTGACAGGTAAAGCCGTGGGGGGGGGGGGCATTTAGAGGAACTGACCCCCTGGGTATCTCTCCCTGCAACAGCCAAGAACCGGCTCTTCCTTCTCTAACTCACATCTGTTTTCAGCTGCTGCAGGGAGAGGCACACAGGGGATCGGTTCCTGTAATCCCCCCCCACCCCGGGCCTCACCAATCACCTTCCCTGTTCAGGATTTGATTCCCCGTGCTGCCCGCTAATAAGGAGTTTAGTGTATCCTTATGGGGGGGGGTGTCAGGTGGGCTGTATGGGGCCCCGTGATAGCAGCCCGAATATATTACGAAGTGTTCCAGTGAGAAGCTCACATTGCGATGTTTTCCTTTTGATCAAAGCTGAACTAAACTCTCCCATCCCACATCGGTGTCATCCCCATCCTCCCACCAGCAGCCAATACATGGGAAGGGATTTGCATTTACTTGCTTTATACTTTTTTTTTTGTTACATTTCTTCAATGACTTCCTGGTTTCTGGCCTTGGCCACAACGATGTCATACATCCCAGGAGTCTTCATGGGAGGAGGGGCTTTCTCAGCTTGGTACACCCTGCTGACTGCATGCCTGAGGTAAAGGCAAATGGATTCCTGGAGGTAAATGCTACATGAATCATCAGCCCTTATTCATGATGACTGCGAATCCCAAACTTTACCGGTAAGAGTTGATTGGATCTCAAACTGGTAATTCCTCGGCTGGTATCCAAGCCTATGTACACTGTATTGCCAAAGTATTGTCCCCGCCCTCCCAATCATGTGATTCAGGTGTCCCAATCCCCTCCATATCATGTGATTCGGGTGTTCCAATCCCCTCCCAATCATGTGATTCAGGTGTTCCAATCCCTCCCAATCATGTGATTCAGGTGTTCCAATCCCCTCCCAATCATGTGATTCAGGTGTTCCAATCCCCTCCATATCATGTGATTCAGGTGTTCCAATCTCCTCCGTATCATTGGATTCAGGTGTTCCAATCCCCTCCGTATCATGTGATTCAGGTGTTCCAATCCCCTCCGTATCATGTGATTCAGGTGTTCCAATCCCCTCCGTATCATGTGATTCAGGTGTTCCAATCCCCTCCATATCATGTGATTCAGGTGTTCCAATCTCCTCCGTATCATTGGATTCAGGTGTTCCAATCCCCTCCGTATCATGTGATTCAGGTGTTCCAATCCCCTCCGTATCATGTGATTCAGGTGTTCCAATCCCCTCCGTATCATGTGATTCAGGTGTTCCAATCCCCTCCGTATCATGTGATTCAGGTGTTCCAATCCCCTCCGTATCATGTGATTCAGGTGTTCCAATCCCCTCCCAATCATGTGATTCAGGTGTTCCAATCCCCTCCATATCATGTGATTCAGGTGTTCCAATCCCCTCCATATCATGTGATTCAGGTGCTCCAATCCCCTCCATATCATGTGATTCAGGTGTTCCAATCCCCTCCATATCATGTGATTCAGGTGTTCCAATCCCCTCCATGGACACAGGTGTATACAATCAAGCCCCTAGGCATGCAGACTGCTTCTACAAACATTGGGGAAAGAATGGGTCGCTCTCAGGAGCTCAGTGACTCCAAGCGTGGTCCCGTGATAGGTGGCCACCTGGGCAATAAGTCCATCTGTGACATTTCCTGGCTACTAAATATTCCACGCTCAAACTGTTAGTGGGATTATAACAAAGTGGAAGCCACTGGGAACAACAGCCACTCAGCCACCAAGTGGTAGGCCACGTCACATGACAGGGCGGGGTCAGCGCATGCTGAAGCGCACAGTGCGCAGAAGTCGCCAACTGTCTGCAGAGTCAATAGCTAAAGACCTCCAAACTTGGTGTGTCCCTTCAGATGAGCCCAACAACAGTGCGTAGAGAGCTTCATGGAATGGGTTTCCATGGCCGAGCAGCTGCATCCAAGCCTTCCATCACCAAGTGCAATGCAAAGCATCAGATGCCGTGGTGTAAAGCACGCCGCCACTGGACTCTAGAGCAGGGGAGACGTGTTCTCTGGAGGGACCAATCACGCTTCTCTGTCGGGCAATCTGATGGACGTGTCTGGGTTTGGCAGTTGCCAGGAGAACGGTACTTGCCTGACTGCATTGTGCCAAGTGTAAAGTTTGGTGGAGGGGGGATTATGGTGTGGGGGGTGTTTTTCAGGGGTTGGGTTGGCCCCCTAGTTCCAGTGAAGGGAACTCTTAAGGCGACATTTTGGACAATTTCATGCTCCCACCTTTGTGGGAGGAGTTTGGGGCGGCCCCTTCCTGTTCCAACATGACTGCCCACCAGTGCACAAAGCAAGGTCCATAAAGACATGGAGGAGCCAGTTTGGGGTGGAGGAACTTGACTGTCCTGCACAGAGTCCTGACCTCAACCCCATAGAACACCTTTGGGATGAATTAGAGCGGAGACTGCGAGCCAGGCCTCCTCCCCCGACATCAGTGCCCCTCCCCCGACATCAGTGCCTCCTCCCCCGACATCAGTGCCCCTCCCCCGACATCAGTGCCTGACCTGACAAATGTGCTTCTGGAAGAATGGTCCAACCTTCCCATAGACACCCTCCTAAACCTTGTGGGGGGCCTTCCCAGAAGAGTTGAAGCTGTTATAGCTGCAAAGGGCGGGGCCAACTCAATATTGAACCCTACGGACTAAGACTGGGGGGACATTACAGGTCATGTGTGTGGGAAGGGCGGGGCCAACTCAATATTGAACCCTACGGACTAAGACTGGGGGGCCATTAAAGGTCATGTGTGTGGGAAGGGCGGGGCCAACTCAATATTGAACCCTACGGACTAAGACTGGGGGGCCATTAAAGGTCATGTGTGTGGGAAAGGGCGGGGCCAACTCAATATTGAACCCTACGGACTAAGACTGGGGGGCCATTAAAGGTCATGTGTGTGGAAAGGGCGGGGCCAACTCAATATTGAACCCTACGGACTAAGACTGGGGGGCCATTAAAGGTCATGTGTGTGGGAAGGGCGGGGCCAACTCAATATTGAACCCTACAGACTAAGACTGGGGGCCATTAAAGGTCATGTGTGTGGGAAGGGAGGGCGGGGCCAACTCAATATTGAACCCTACGGACTAAGACTGGGGGGCCATTAAAGGTCATGTGCGTGGAAAGGGCGGGGCCAACCCAATACTGAACCCTACGGACTAAGACTGGGGAGCCATTAAAGGTCATGTGTGTGGAAAGGGCGGGGCCAAGTCAATATTGAACCCTACGGACTAAGACTGGGGGGCCATTAAAGGTCATGTGTGTGGAAAGGGCGGGGCCAACTCAATAGTGAACCCTACCGACTGAGACTGGGAGGTCATTAAAGGTCATGTGCGTGGAAAGGGTGGGGCCAACTCTATATTGAACCCTACAGACTAAGACTGGGGGGCCATTAAAGGTCATGTGTGTGGGAAGGGCGGGGCCAAGTTAATATTGAACCCTACGGACTAAGACTGGGGGGCCATTAAAGGTCATGTGTGTGAAAAGGGCGGGGCCAAATACTTTTGGCAGTACAGTGCACTGAGGCTGAAAACCTGCATTTCCCCTTCAGAGGGAGGACTCTGGTGCCATTTCAACACATTTTGCAGCCATGGTCCACCCGGAGAAAAATGCCGCCATTGTTGGAGTTCATGCCTGTAGACGGTAAGTGGCCACAAAGCGCTTGGGAGGTCAGTAGCATTGAAAAACACTAAAGCTCTTGTAGGGTCATCTCTCATGATGACAACTAAGACAGAATATTTTGCATCATACTCTCCACCTCGTCTAATCACAGAACACTTCGCATTCATTTAGAACACGAAAAGTATTCTCTGATTGGTGTCTGTGCTGAGCATCCGACCTCCTGTGTTCAGAATGCATCAGGCTGGCCACTCAGCACAGGACCCCGAAGGTGGTGGAGATCATTGTAGCAGTAGAGTAGTCATGGTGTAGTAGAGGTGTAGTAGGTGTAGTAATGGTGTATTAGCGCTGTAGTAGAGGTGTAGTAATGGTGTGGTAGAGGTGTAGTAGAATTGTAGTAGGTGTAGTAATGGTGTAGCAGCAGTGTAGTAGTAGTGTGTGTAGTAGTGGTGTGGTAGAGGTTTAGTAGAGGTGTAGTGATGGTGTAGCAGCAGTGTAGCAGTAGTGTAGTCATGGTGTAGTAGAGGTGTAGTAGCGGTGTAGTAGTGGTGTGGTGTGGTAGAGGTGTAGTAATGGTGTAGGAGCAGTGTAGTAGTGGTGTAGTAGTGGTGTAGCAGCAGTGTAGTAGCAGTGTAGTAGTAGTGGTGTAGTAGCGGTGTGGTAGAGGTGTAGTAGAATTGTAGTAGAGGTGTAGTGATGGTGTAGCAGTAGTGTAGTCATGGTGTAGTAGAATTGTAGTAGAGGTGTAGTAGCGGTGTAGTAGCGGTGTAGTAGTGGTGTAGTAGCAGTGTAGTAGTGGTGTGGTAGAGGTGTAGTAGAGGTGTAGTAGTGGTGTAGCGGTGTAGTAGCGGTGTGTAGTAGTAGAGGTGTAGCGGTGTAGTAGTAGTAGCGTGTAGTAGCGGTGTAGTAGTAGTGTAGTAGTAGTAGTGGTGTAGTAGTGGTGTAGTAGCAGTGTAGTAGCGGTGTAGTAGTGGTGTAGCGGTGTAGTGTAGTAGCGGTGTAGTAGTGGTGTAGTAGCGGTGTAGTAGCGGTTGTAGTAGCGGTGTAGTAGAAGTGTAGTAGCGGTGTAGTAGCGTGTGTAGCGTGTAGCGTAGTAGCGGTGTAGCGGTGTAGTAGCGGTGTAGTAGCAGCGGTGTAGTAGCGGTGTAGTAGCGTGTAGTAGCGGTGTAGTAGTGGTGTAGTAGCGGTGTAGTAGCGGTGTAGTAGTAGTAGCGTGTGTAGTAGTGGTAGTAGCGGTGTAGTAGTGGTGTAGTAGTAGCGGTGTAGTAAGTGTAGTAGTGGTGTAGCGGTGTAGTAGCGGTGTAGTAGTAGCGGTGTAGTAGTGGTGTAGCGGTGTAGTAGCGGTGTAGTAGCGGTGTGTGTAGTGGTGGTAGTAGCGGTGTAGTAGCGGTGTAGTAGTGTAGTGTAGCGGTGTAGTAGCGGTGTAGTAGTGTAGTAGCGGTGTAGTAGCGGTGAGTAGTAGCGGTGTAGTAGCGGTGTAGTAGTGGTGTAGCGGTGTGTAGCGGTGTAGTAGTGCGGTGTAGTAGCGGTGTAGTAGCGGTGTAGTGTAGTAGTGGTGTAGTAGCGGTGTAGTAGCAGTGTAGTAGCGGTGTAGTAGTGTGTAGTAGCGGTGTAGCGCGGTGTAGCGGTGTAGTAGCGGTGTAGTAGCGGTGTAGTAGCGGTGTAGTAGTGGTGTAGTAGCGGTGTAGTAGCGGTGTAGTAGTAGTAGCGGTGTGTAGTAGTAGGTGTAGTAGCGGTGTAGTAGCGGTGTAGTAGCGGTGTAGTGTAGTAGCGGTGTAGTAGCGGTGTAGTAGCGGTGGTGTGTAGTAGCGGTGTAGCGGTAGTAGCGGTGTAGTAGTGTAGTAGCGGTGTAGTAGCGGTGTAGTAGCGGTGTAGTAGCGGTGTAGTAGCAGTGTAGTAGTAGTAGCGGTGTAGTAGTGTAGTAGCAGTGTAGTAGCGGTGTAGTGTAGTAGCGGTGTAGTAGTGGTGTAGCAGTGTAGTAGCGGTTGTAGTAGCGGTGTGTAGCGGTGTAGCGGTGTAGTAGCGGTGTAGTAGCGGTGTAGTAGCGGTGTAGCAGTGTAGTAGCGGTGTAGTAGCGGTGTAGTAGCGGTGTAGTAGCGGTGTAGTAGCGGTGTAGTAGTGTAGTAGCGGTGTAGTAGCGGTGTAGCAGTAGTAGTAGCGGTGTAGTAGCGGTGTAGTAGTAGTAGCGGTGTAGTAGCGGTGTAGTAGCGGTGTAGTAGCGGTGTAGTAGCGGTGTAGTAGCGGTGTAGCAGTGTAGTAGCGGTGTAGTAGCGGTGTAGTAGTGGTGTAGTGTGTAGTAGCAGTGTAGTAGCGGTGTAGTAGCGGTGTAGTAGCGGTGTAGTAGCGGTGTAGTGGTAGTAGCGGTGTAGTAGCGGTGTAGTAGCGGTAGCGGTGTAGTAGCAGTGTAGCGGTGTAGTAGCGTGTAGTAGCGGTGTAGTAGCGGTGTAGTAGCGGTGTAGTAATGGTGTAGCGGTGTAGTAGCGGTGTAGTAGCAGTGTAGTAGCGGTGTAGTAGCGGTGTAGTAGCGGTGTAGTAGCGGTGTAGTAGCGGTGTAGTAGCAGTGTAGTAGCGGTGTAGTAGCGGTGTAGTAGCGGTGTAGTGGTGTAGTAGTAGCGGTGTAGTAGCGGTGTGTAGTAGCGGTGTAGTAGTGGTGTAGCGGTGTAGTAGCGGTGTAGTAGCGGTGTAGTAGCGGTGTAAGTAGTAGCGGCGGTGTAGTTAGTAGCGGTGTAGTAGCGGTGTAGTAGCGGTGTAGTAGCGGTGTAGTAGTGTAGTAATGGTGTAGCGGTGTAGTAGCGGTGTAGTAGCGGTGTAGTAGCGGTGTAGTAGCGGTGTCTATTTCATTGATTTCCAGCTTCCAGGGGTCGGCCAGGTATGTACCTAGTTGGTCCACGCTGGAA